ATATGATTATTGACCATAAATTTTGAACACATTATCTGGTGAATTTTATCCTTCCATATTACCAATTGATGAATTCCTTGAAGTTTGTAAATACCACTATTGATGTGACTTGAAGCGGACTATCAGCCGCTACGACTGGTAGTCGGGGGTCTTGCTGTTAATATGGACTCAATGTTATTTGGGTTCGGGTTCTGGGCCTGGTCTGTAACCATTTCCTTTGCCAGATTGGATTAGGTTTAGACCCACATGGAGAAGTAATATAAATACTTCTCATACTCCTCTGTAATATGTAATCTCCTCGATATAGTGAAACTGGCTCTCTCTCGCCCGTGGACTAGCTAACACACAGTGTTAGTGAACCACGTAAATCGTGTGTCTGTGTTTTTCGATTCTCGCTTTCGTATTCTTGCTTTATCGATTCCGACGATTTCCCAATCCGTAGCAGCGCGTTTGTAACAAGTGGTATCAGACCCGCGGCTGGAATTGGTATGGAGTTCTGTAATTCCGAGTTCAACGAATTCTGCAAGGATGAAGGGATTGCCCGTCATCGGACCGTGAGAGATACACCCCAGCAGAATGGCATTGCAGAAAGGATGAACCAGACATTGTTGGAGAGAGCACGGTGCATGCTCTCTAATGTTGGACTAGAGAGAAGATTCTGGGCAGAAGCAGTGAACATGGCGTGCTTCCTGATCAACCGTGGACCTCACACAGGTATCAAGTTTAAGACTCCTTATGAGGTGTGGTATGGTAAGCCTGCTGATTACTCTTCACTGAAAGTTTTTGGGTGTCCTGTTTATTATCATGTGGATGAGGGTAAACTAAACCCAAGGGCAAAGAATGGTGTATTTGTGGGTTACGGAGATGGAGTTAAGGGATTTCGAGTTTGGTCACCTTCTGAGCATCGAGTTATACTCAGTAGAAATGTGATATTTGATGAGAAGTCTATGTTTAACCCCACGTTGAAGGTTACTGTTGTTGAAGGTAGCAAGAATGTTGATAATCAGGTGGAGCTGCAAACTCTCAATGAGAGTGAGTTTGATCACCAAGGTGGAGAAGATCAACATGAGGATGTTTCTACAGAGCCAGAAACTTCAAAGTCCAGTGCAGGAGCTCAACTGTCTATAACTTCCGGTAGACCAAAGAGAGAGACTGCAGGAGTACCTCCAGAGAGGTATGGTTTCGAGGACATGGTGGCATATTCATTTCAGGTTGCTGAAGAAGTGGATGCAGGTGAGCCGCTGTCCTATAGAGAAGCCTTTTCGGGTGGCGAAGCTGATCAGTGGTTTGCCGCAATGGGAGATGAGATGGAATCCCATGACAGGAATCAGACTTGGGAGCTAGTCAAACGACCACAGGGAAGGAAGATTGTTACAAACAAGTGGATCTACAAGAAGAAGGAAGGAATCACTTCTAAAGAAGGCATGAAATTTAAAGCTCGGGTGGTTGCACGAGGCTTCTCGCAGAGGGAAGGAGTTGACTACAATTAGATTTTCTCACTAGTGGTCAGACATACTTCGATCAGAGTGCTACTAGCAATAGTGGCACATTATGACTTGGAACTCGAGCAGCTAGACGTGAAGACAGCTTTCCTACATGGAGAGTTGGAGGAAGAAATTTACATGACTCAGCCAGAAGGATTCTAGATTCCGGGAAAAGAAGACTATGTTTGTAAGCTGAAGAAGTCCTTGTATGGACTTAAGCAGTCTCCGAGGTAGTGGTACAAGAGATTTGACAGTTACATGCTTGAGCTGGGCTACAGCAGAAGTCCATATGATTGTTGTGTGTATCACAACAAGGTGTAGGATGGTTCGATGATCTATCTTGTTCTATATGTGGATGATGTGCTCATAGCTGCGAGGTCGAAGTCTGATATCCAGAAGTTAAAGGGGCTTCTCAGTGCTGAGTTTGAGATGAAGGATTTGGGAGCTGCTCAGAAGATCTTGGGCATGGAGATTTACAGGGACAGGTCGAAGAAGAAGCTTTTCTTGTCACAGAAGAGCTATATCCAGAAGATATTGTCGAGGTTTGGCATGTCTTCAGCAAAGCCCTTAAATACTCCTAGTGCTTCAAATGTTCATCTATCCTCAGCTTATGCACCGCAGACAGAGGCTGAGTAGGAGTACATGTCGAGAGTCCCATATGCTAGTGCAGTAGGTAGCTTGACGTACGCTATGGTATTCACTAGACCTGATCTTGCACATGTTGTTAGTGTTGTCAGTAGGTTTATGATACAACCTGGGAAGGAGCATTGGCAGGCTATGAAGAGGATTTTCCGGTACCTTAAGGGTACACCTGATGTGGGGATTAGCTTCGGAAGTGATACAGAGTGCTTGGTGTCTGGGTATTATGACTCAGACTATGCTGGAGATGTTGACACGAGGATATCGATGACCAGTTATGTATTCACTCTTGGGAGTTCTGTAGTGAGCTAGAAGGCAACTTTGCAGTCAGTGGTGACATTGTCTACTACTGAGGCAGAGTATATGGTGTTGACAGAAGCTTCTAAGGAGGGAATATGGTTGAAGGAACTGGTTGGTGATCTGGGTCTACATCATGATCAGACAGTGGTGTATTGCGACAGTTTGAGTGCAATATGCTTAGCCAAGGATCAAGTCCACCATGAGAGGACTAAGCACATCGACGTGCGGTATCATTTCTTGAGGACAGAGAAGAGGATTAAGGTGAAGAAGGTTGGCACCACGGATAATCCCGCTGATGTGTTCACGAAGTCGTTTCCACATGGCAAGTTCCAACACTGCTTGGACTTGCTGATGTCTTGAGTGGGTGACTCTGCCCTGCGGGGCATTGATGGCGGGAGAGAGAGAGAAGGAGCAGAGTACATCAGAGATTTCAGAGGAAGAGGATTCAAGTCAATGTTATTTGGGTTCGGATTCTGGGTCTGGTCTGTAACCGTTTCCTTTGCCAGATTGGATTAGGTTTAGACCCACATGGAGAAGTACTATAAATACTTCTCATACTCCTCTGTAATATGTAATCTCCTTGATATAGTGAAACTGGCTCTCTCTCGCCCGTGGACTAGCTAACACACATTCTCGCTTTCGTATTCTTGATTTATCGATTCCGACGATTTCCCGATCCGTAGCAGCGCTTTTATAACAACACTTCATTGCATAATTGCTTATTTCCGCTTGGAGCTCATAGAGAATCATGTTAATAATATAGAGTCTTATGAATTAGTACCTTTGAAGCAATTCATGATGACAATAACAAGTGCAAGATTTTCCTCTAAAATATACATACAACATTAAGATAGGATGAACTGGTCAACAAAATATAATTGAATTAATTATCACTAATGGCACAATTAATACATAGCCCAAAAATGACTTTGAAATTGTGAATCAATTAATTAGAATACTCCTAAATCATTTAATTTTATTGGCCATTGACTCTGAATTCGAGATGTTCTCATACCCACTAGGCCATCTCCTCAAATAATATGAATCAATTGATTAAAATAAAATAATAAAAAATAAACCGATACTCATCCGCCAATGAATACTACCTGCACAAATTTGGCAGAAGTCTTCTACACCTGTATGGCTTGATAAAAAATATGAACTAATTATCATTAATGTCGTAATAAAAAAGTAACACAAAAATTTATTTCAAATTGTCAATGAATCTAAATCCTTTGAAAATATAAATGGAGTTGATTAAAATGAAACAAAAAATAAATAAAAAAATTCATCCGACTAATGAGTCGGGTAAAAGCTAGTAATTATATATCTCCGAACGTTCCTCTTTGTCGCTTTCAATTAGCCCCTTGCATGAATGAATGATAGGGCAAAAAGAAGTAGAGAAAAAATAGGACCTCACAACGGAATTTCAACTTTTGTCACTTGCTATGCATGCATGCATGCGTACCTTGTAACAGTTCATATGCCTACCGCATATAATGACAATGTTGAATGTTTTCTTGGTGAAGGGTTTACTGTTATATGTGTGTGGTTGCCGGCTGATTAATTGAAGCATTTTGATCTTTGATGTATAGTAAATAAATGTTCTAGAAAGCAAAATGATCCGATAAAGTTATATTTTCAAACGTGTAAAAGAGTAGTAGAGTTGAATCTTCTAATGACGAGTGAATTTCTAACGAATGATTTTGGTCTAAATAATTGATGAGTATGTACAATTTATCGTCGGACTGCCTCCCTCTCGGGATAACTATGGCAACAAAAAAAACGAAGTATCAGCTTTAGAAGTGGGGTTGTGGGAGTTTATGAACTCCAAGCAGCAGTAAGGTTAGAAAACAGTATGATCTGGTCAAATTGGACTGGATTGACCCAATTAACCGAATAAGAAACTGAATTAGATTGAACCCAATTTTAATCGAGACCAGATTGGATGGATCTTGTTTGGTCCGGATGTGAACCCAAAAATCACTTTTGCCTATTTCTCCCCAAGTGCAGTCGTTTAAGAGAAATTATGATCAGTCATGCATCCAAACCGATTCAAACGACCCCTAAGTTTTCGTGTGGGTCATCGCCAAAGGAAAAATCGATAGAGATTCTGGTTCTGCATGGCTGACTGCTCATCTGCATCGCTAATGGACTGGACTGTAACATCCCGACTTTTGGATTAAGGTTCAACTTGGAATTAATATATGGTTTGATTCATTAGTTAGATACGAGACGTCAAACCAAAACCATTGAGTCACAACTGGGTCGAGGAGTTAACTCTCAACAGGACCAATTAATTTATTACCACCACGTACAAGAGTAAGCCGTTTAATTGAGAGCTATTATAGAGTCATATTAAGCCAAGTAACTTGATAGTTTTTGGCTTACCAAATCATTTTACCGATCCTAAGTAAATTGACTCATCTTTGGAAGCTGTGATCACTTTTGTCATTTTTGGATTGATTAGATATTGATCGGTTTAGTAAATTCCCTACCATTATATGAGAGTGTAAAAGTAACAAGATTTGAAATTTTGGAGTGGTGGAGTGTCTTGGTATCTCGAATATGCGAAGAAAATGGAAATTCGAAAGCTTGTACGCTCTTAAATTAGTGGCAAACTTCAAAGTAAACAAGCTTTTATTAATATTTTTTTACCTAAACAAAAATGTTATTATTGGGTAATGACTCTCAACAAGCATACGGAAGATTCGGATTGTAAAGCAAGCTATTCCCACCAAACTCAATAAGGCGTCGCCAAGTACCCCCAACATCTCCTTTATCAATCGCCCAATAGTGTACTCTATCACTTTGATAGATTTTACAATCTGCGGGATTATAATCATCCTGCTCATTTTCATCCACAACCATGATAGTTCTAGCATAACCATCCAGCTTTGCGTCTCCATAAGGCCGACAACCAGATCCCATCCTTGGAATGACGGAACCTGGAGGACTGTAAACTTCTCCTCCCCATTCCGCATAGTTAGCAAAACCTGCTAACCCCGTGAATATGTCTCTCGGCCAAAATCCCAAAACCTTATTGTGAATTCCATACCTGAGAATCCAATCTCCAGTGTAATGATCCTTCTTTCACAATCAAATAATATTCAAACATTTGGAATTTTGCTTTACACGTTTTAGCTCAACTATCTATTTCAAATAAAAACATATGTATTTAGGTTTTTACTTGAGTATTAAGAAATTACCTTGCTAATAACAAAATTTTGTTCATATGTCGGTCCACCTCTTCTGGAAACAGGCGAAAGAATAACATCCAATGGTATTTCATGATTCGTCACCACGAATCCAGGGCAGTAAGTGTTGTAGCAATGCACATCTTTCGTCTAAGAATTGCAAATATGTTTAATGAAATTTATATATTCTTTTGATAATAATAATAATAATAAATATTTTCCTTATAATAATAAGTAAAATAATCATAAAACATTCACCATTGTGTATATGAAAAGTCGAGTGTACGAATCTTGATACAAGCTCGGATTAACCTTAAGCACAAAAAATGTGAAAAAGGGGTTATTTTGTAGTAGTGTCATTAATTATCATATGTAGCTATGTCATTTGAGAAGGTTGGAATGTGACTAAATACGTTAAATTAGTTACTTACTACCCATCCCACTGCAATACTATCAGGGCCATTTTGGAGTTTGAAACGGCTAGAAGTGTATTGATTGGCTTGAACCTCATGATTATATACACTAGTGTACATTCCAGCTCCATGGTACCTTTTGTCCCCAGTAGACCTTAGTACTGCAACCTATGTAACAAAATATATATGGTTCCATGACCAAGATATGAAAGTATGGTTAGCTTGCATATAACAAATAAAAACCAAATTTATCATGACTTTCATATAAATTAATATGAAATTAAATAATAATGAAATGGTAAAAATTAATGGGCATTTCACAAAGAGTTTGGTGGTACACCTTGGATTCTAGGTGTAACGGATGCATAATTGTAATTTGTAAGCATTAACAAAGAGTTTGTGCATGAGTATTTGCAAGTTTTACTGATTATTTGTTTTAATACAAAGTATTTGTTGACCATTTATAAATAATTTCAATTTACTGATTATTTGTTTTACTGATTATATGCCAGAAATTCCAAGATATATAACACACGCGAAAAAATAATAAATACTTACATGAACTCCCGGATTGAGGTTGGACGTTACAGCAACAGCTAAATTTGCTCTAAGTAAATCATTTTTTGTAGTTTTTCTAATTGGCACCGTTCCAATTGGACATCCTTTACCATTCAACCATATGTCTAAGTGTTCGCCACCAAATGAGCTTGAGTCTGTTGCTCTTGCTTCGAAACCGTGTAAAGAAGAGTTCAACTACAATGCAACCAAAAAAGACATATTGTTTATTAATTATTGATACAAATAGTGTGTTTAATTAAATGTATTAAAAAGGTATAAGAAAAACATGTTATGATCATATACCTGATAATCAAATTTACGATTCTTTAATAAAGGATGATCAAATGCCGGTTGCTTGTAGAAATGCACACAATTATATGTGTCTCCATGGATTGTCTATTTGACAAGGGACGCAGTAAAACCATTAAAAATCAGTTTGATGGTACTAACTACAATTATAATCAAGAAATAAATAATTAGGATAAATTCATTTAGCAATGTAACCTGGATAGTGGCAACAGCAGACTTATCCAAACGAGAAAGTTGTTTTCTTGATCTCCTAAACAACCTCTGTGCTGTAATGACGTTAAGTTCTAATAATAACACAGAACATAGCAAGACAAATATTAAGGCAGAACTATAGGTGGTACAACCAATATTCATCTTTAATTTCCTGTCAAAAAAAGTTATAAAATATGAATTAATATTTACAAACTGGACACTTATTATGCTTGCTTCAATGTAGTTTCAAGACACTTACAGTGACTCTCCTCTTGAATTCTTTTTGTGTATATTTCAGATGAAATTATTTTCTATGCATTAATGCTTGCGGCCTTTTATACAGGGAGAAAGTAATTTGTTAACAAAAAATGAGATATCATCGAGTATAGATAAAAAAGTGTAAGTCACTTAAGTCATATCGTAAAATTCGCTTTGATATTTTTAACTAATTTGAAATTTTCAAGGCACTCAAAGTTATAATGAAATATTATCTACACATTTACTATATCATTAAATTAGCGGGCAGTTCTAGGGTGCCCAAAGCAAAATCCGAGGAACGGAAGACTGGGGGCAAGGAAAATTACAAAAAGCATCACGACGCGTTAAAGCTTTTTTCATTCGACTTCAACCTAACTGTACCCGGTTTAATTATATGGATTAAGAGGTTAAACTCTATGGATACGACCCACCCCGCCCTAACCAATTTCCAGTCCCTCATTCGTCTTGGAGGGGACGTCCTCTCTTAGGTCAAAGTTCGAACATAAGCTGCCTGTCGAATCTGAAATCTCCAACAAAATCATCGTTTCGAAACCCAATCCTTTTATGATTTGATCCACATTCGATTTAGCTCCCTAACCAATCTCAAATCCCCAACATCATCATGTTTTGAACCCCAAATCTATGTATCCGCATTCGAAGAGTAGATCCCCTTTCAATCTGAAATCCCCACATAATCATCATTTTGAACCACAAATCCTTGTATCCACAATCGACGTTTTGTTCTTCGCCATTTTATTTCAGCCGGAGTTACTCACCTATCTCTTTCTAACACGATTACTGCGACCATGTCTATTATTGTGTTCATCAAACTTTTCATTTTTCTAACCCTAGGGTTCATGTCGCCAGTGCTTTGTCATCTTGTCTTAGCGTTATTGTCATTTTCTCAAAACTTCTATCTCTCGGTGAAATTAAGGTTTCCTGAGATGCAGGGATCGTCTCGTCCAGAGGATTGAGAAGAAGATGAAGAAGACAGAATTTGATTCGAATCGGATGGAAATGTCGCCTTAACTTGTGTTTATGTATTAACGTGCGTTTAGGACTAATTCTAGTTGGACTGGGATCCGTATTATTTATGGGTCTAATCATTAATTTTTGAAGGCTTTTAAATAACATTCAAAAGTGGGCTTGTACATGATCCGGATTGTCATTAGGTTGGGCCTTTGATAATTTTCTATCACAGTTTTCGGTTCTTTGATTTTATATTTTATTTACATCGGATTCTGCTTCTAAATCTTGATCATGCCTTGAGTTCACGCAATTTAAACATAATTATGTATTCCATCTTTTTTGGGGATTTGGTAAATGGTAGCGTGTCTCTTTACACATTTATCGGTACGAGGTAAACAACAATCCGCCCAATTTAACTCTTTATTAATTGCCCTTATTCCACTTTCTCGCTGTTTACCCCTCTTTATGCATTGCACTCATACATAACAAACCTCTTCTAGACTAATTAGAGGCTTGTGGTTAGATACCTAGTGAGGACATTTTTTAAATTTATGTTTTGAAACGAAAGTTAGAATTTCACTTTTGAAGTACCTATGTACTTTTGTTGAGCAAGTATTTTCAAAATGTAAAATTTTATCAGCGTATAGCTATACGATTATTGTATAAGGTGTTGATGGTTCAGGTAATGGGTACTGACTAGTTAGGGTATTAGGTTGTTGATGGTTTAGAGTATATGGTATATGGGTAGGTTATAAGGTGTTGATGGTTTAGAGCATATGGTATTGATTGGTTAGGGTGAGGGTAGGTGTTGTTTTATTTTTCTCGATTTTATATTTTCTGTACATCTGCTTATAAATGCTGATCATGCATTATTATCAGGTAATTTAGACATAACTATTATAGCGTGTCTCTTTACACATTTATCGGTACGAGATAAAATGATTTATTGTGTGCAAGGTAGGTTCTTATTAAAGATTTTGCCTTGTTGGTGATTCCGACCATTAGCGATTCGCCACATATGGAATCAAAATTAGTTAGAGTTTTTAACAGTGCTATCAAAACCAAGCCGAGCCGATAGGTCGGACCGGTAAAACCGGGATCCGGCCACCAGCCCGGCTCGAAACCCTTGAAAAAACGCTTCGGTTGAATTCACCGGCCGGTTAACGGTTCAGACGGTTAACCGTCAAAACCGTTCAACCCGGTCAACCGGCTCTAGGCTATCAAGTCCCTTATAAATGAACTGGCACGGGATTCAAGAAGCACGTCAGGGTTCAAAGTACATATGCTGGGCTGTCTCTTCGCTTCCTGGGAAAATAGCCTTTTCATCTCTTTTTACGGTGCACCAATATTCTTTTAGTGATCATTAGTTTTTTTGTTAAAAAACACATTCAGACTCTTATGGGATAGGGTAGATGGCTAGATGTTATTGCATGCGCAGCCTTGGAAATGAAATTATGAGAACGTTGAACTTTCCTTCCCAATGCCATCTGCACATTTCGGTCGGATAATTTTTTAGTTTTTTTCAATTTTATTTTGGGTAATTATGGATAAATTAGGTTTCTTTCCATAACATTTTCATAATTCTAGAGGGTTATGAGTAGGAATCTAAATTTTGGGTTTTAGATCTAAAATGGAAAAATATACAAATTTTACTATTATTTTGTTGCTTTTATTTGAAAACAATATGGTTCATGTTTGAACCTTGGAACTTTAGTACTAAATTTAAAATTGGTTTAATAGTGATGAATTCTATTTTTAATTTATGGTTTAGTGTGTTTTTATGTGTTTAGTATTTATGATATTCTTGTTTACAAGGTATCGGTTCGTTAACGGTTTTTAACGGCCTAATACCGGTCAAACCAATAAAGTGCGAGCCGCTCACTATATCGGTTCATGCTCCGGTTCGGTTTTGACAACATTGGTTTTTAAGTTCATCTTTATTCATTTATTCTTCGATTTGAACCAGCATGTCTTTGATCCGAAGGATTTTGTAGTGGCGTGCTAAAGACAATCTGTCCAATTTAACTCTTCATTAATTCCCCCTTTTCCACTCTCTCATTCCCCGACGAAGCTGAAACAATCCCCTGTGATATATTTACCGTTCATTTTAACCCTTCACTTAATAAGAAAGCGAAATTATGCACGATGATCATAAATGTGATGTAGCTTAATTGGTTAATTGTCCTTTAGTTGCTTAGTCAATAAAGTAGAGGTTTGTGGTTCGATACTTAGCGAGGATCAATTTTTAATTTATGTTTTAAAAAGAAAGTTAGAATTTCAATTTTGAAGTACCTATATACTTTAGTTGGGCAAAAATTTTATCAGCGTATAGGTATACGATATTGTATAAGGTGTTGATGGTTTAGAGTATATGGTATTGGGTTAGAGTATTGATCATCTCCATCCCTAAAATTGGTTAGCAATTTCTAAACGTGGTCCCTACCGCCATATCACCAATTTTAGCAATTCATAACTTATCAATTTCTAGTCATCTACATCCCTAAACTATGCTAGCAATTGCTAAAGTGGGTCCCATTTACTATTTCAAAGCTACACAAACACTTATCAATTGAAAAGTTAATAAACAAGGAAAAAGAAAGTTATCTATGTGGCATTGCTAGAAGAATTGCTAATTTAGCAATCTTTCTAGTTTAGAAAGAACTCCTCCATCCCTAACCATTGCTAAGTTTTTGCCACCTAAGCTCCACCTCATCTTTAGCAATTGCTAAAAGTTGGGGATGGAGATAGAAGAAGGTGTTTATGGTTTAGAGTATAAGGTATTGAAGGTTAGGGTATAAGGTAGGTAGCAAGGTGTTGATGGTTTAGAGTATATATGGTATTGATTGATTAGTGTATAAGGTGTTCATGTTGTAGAGTATATGATATTGATTGGTTCGGGTATTATGGTTTATGGTTTAGGGTATAGGGCTGAGAGTTTAGGGTTATGATTCAAGTCAGAATAACATAAACCAGATCAATAGAGTAATGTTGCTAAACGAAAAAGTTAGTTTATCTACAAAGCCAGACTATTTATAAAAGCACATTCCCATCTCCCGCCGTCAATTCCTAAACTTTTCCCTTAATTCGATGGTGAAATTCCTTCAATCCTTATTGCGTGTGTGTCAACGAATCAGATATCGCCGAATCCAAAAAGTCGCATTTGCCCATAACCATGCTGGCGTTACCAAGGCCGAGGCAGTGGTATGGAGTGTGATTTTCAGTAAATGGGAAGGGCGGGAAAGGCAAAGTAATTACGAGTCCATTTATAAATTCGTTAATCAGTGAAGGAGAGACCATGCTCCGAAACCCGAGTGGCACTCATCTCCTGCTACTGTTCGTTCCTCCTCCTCTCAATCCCTGAAAAGAACCTTTTCTCCCATTTTCTCGATATGAAACTCTGAAAATGAACCCCAGCCACCTCTTCATCCTCATGTCCCATGCTTTATTTTCGGTTGTAGTGGTAATGATGTACTGCGTATTATTTTAGATCTTAGTTCCTTTCATTATGTCCTTAGATCAAGACTGTTAAACTAACTCCTTTGTTTTATTGTTTCTTCTTTTCTCTCCATATAGGGGCTTTTCGAGAGGCAGTGAGGGGAGCAATGACAACAAGTCGCCGTCTGAATATTGCCGAAAAAATCATCATATGTTGTTACGATTCCATAATAGGTATTATGGAACCCTACGTCATATGATGGTTTTTTGCACAATATTGACGCGTACATGTTGATCATACTTCGAAATTATATACAAGAGGGGAAAGTTGCCCTATGTATAATAGGATAAAAGAGGGAGGGAAAGTACACTTGTTTTGTTTTTTCTAGAATTGTACTTTTAGTGTTTGAGATCTTCTAAATCGGTGAGCGATCCTTCACTCCCAATAAAAATAATGTACTTTATTTCTTGATTACTGACTCCATTTTCAGAAGTCTTTACGATTGGGCCAACAGTATTTTTTCCTGATTTCGAACTCTGCTCCTCTGTCGCAACATGCTCTTGTCATTTCACGCCTAAAATAATAAAGTGAAATGGAAAATAAAAAATTTCATTTCATAATTTTA